GTACTGAGTGCCTTTCTTGCCTCAGAGCTTTTAGCTCGTTTTGTGCAGTAAGTCGGGGAGAGCCCGGAAGAGACACAATTTCAAAGAAACTTTCAGATTATCAATCCATACTCAGTAACTTATCACAAAACTAACTTACCTAGAAATCAGAACACTTTTTTAGGTCTCTCTCCCTGCTTAATTTCTCATTAAATTAATTAGGCACTTGAATTTGTAGTAAGCCTTTACAATCAAAACCCAATCATCCTAACTAGGATGACTCTCACACTTTTTGTGCGAAACTTCAATACCATATAATTAACATTCTTGTAACGGCCGAAACAAATATTAAACGGAGTTGTACCCTATGCAAACAACTCTTAGGGTTTAGTGATAAAATCCGTTCACCGGAAAAATACGACGGTTTATTAACATACGTGATTAAAAATAATTTGTTACAGCTGGAACTACATAATGCATGTTACATGCAGCTATACCATAAGAAGAAGAATGATGGATTTGTCAATACATCTCTTAACGACGATCAGTCTATAATAGATGTAGATGTAAAAAAGAACAATGAAGCAACACAGGCTGATTCATCAACAGATCCATCATCCACAAGTTCCACGATATTCAAAACAAAATCGTTTTCTACTAGTGTTACTACAAATACTTGTCTGACTTCTAATGTTGCTACTGAATTATCTTTTTTTTAGACTTGGAAAATCCGGAAGAAAATGTTCATTGTGTGACAATTACTTTACTGAAAAAACGTTCGATCCATCGAAATTAGCGCCGAGATACGTGTCAACTGCTTATTAGATCACCGAATATACATTCCCGACGAAAGTAGACGTTGTGTCATTCACACTACTGAAGAAATGTTAAATGAAAGCAGTTAAAAGTATTAAAAAAAAGAAAGTAAACCATACCACAGTTCATCGTGACGAATTAATTAAAATTTTAGATGATATGAAAGACCACATCCGGTGTAAAGATAAGAAAATAAAAGAATTGAATAAACGGCCGCCATTAAACTTCGATCAGCCATTGTCAGATGAAAACTCTCACGTTCTGACTGACCTGTCTAACGAGCAATTTAACGATCTCTGTGACCACGTACCATCATATAGTTTAAGGCATACAGACATCAGGACACCGAGAACTGCTATCGCCTGTCTTCTAGTTAAACGTCGTTTAGGTTTAAGCCATAGTACTTTGTGTATGTTATTTGGATTAAAAGAGAAGAAACACATCACGCGTATGCTAGAAAGCGCTAGTACTGCATTAACACAGCATCTTGTTCCAAAGCATCTTGGATTCGGACATATAACAAGGCAGCAGGCGATCAAGAAACACACATGACCACTAGCCCACAACTTCTTGCCGATGCTGATGGTAGTAAAGCTATAATTACTATCTTTCTCAATGTAATGAGTTTAATGCAAAATCGCTGAACTTAACCAGTTAAATAAAAATTAATCAGGGAGTGTCCATTTCTAGTTTCTGAAAATTGAAATTTATTGTTCTATAATGAAGTTAACAATAAGAAATACACATAAAGAAAATTCATTAATCCAAAGAAAATCATTAAAGGAGAACAGGAAAACATATTTTGTTTCTATAATCTTTCACAATCAGTTCGATATAACCATATAAAATCCCATTAACAAAATCACATAGTCAGTAATGGGTGAATATAGAATTTATACACAAAATGGATAGAAAAGACGAAGATTTAAAGGATGCATATTGAGTCCTATGTAGATTTTCAGATGCAAACCAATCGATAAGTGTGTGTTGGGCTTTCAGGGCAAGACGATTCGGAAATTTACTATCCTTTCTAAAACCGCAGGTCTTATACCAGGACTTGGATGCGGTAGTTGCAATCAAAAAGGCAGTCCATGTCTGTCTGTTGAAAGGAGAGTGCTTCAGCTGATTCATCAAGATGTTTTGAAAATTTCATTCAGTAATTATACATATAATCGTTTAATGAGTATTCTCTACTCAAAATTAAGGTAGTTATATGGTCAAAATTCCTTAACTTATACACAATTCTTAAACCGCTACAATATACATCTATTTGTTGCTTCTGTTTATCTGTAAAAAAGAACCATATGGTAAATAACCACATGAAATGAGGTAGGACAAACGAGAGAAATAGTTTTCTCCTTAATTGTATTTCATTTTTTGGAATTATATAAAACATTATTCTCAGCGCCTTATAAATTTTTCTTATCTTTTTTATTCTTTCGTTTATGAAATTACCCCATCCCATTTTTGTACTGATATTAATACCTAAATATTTATACGTTTTAACGTATTCTATTTTCTTTCTTTTATATTCTAATTTAGGGTACGATGGTGATACGACATTGTGTACTAAAAGTGCTTTCGTTTTAGAAATATATATAGGAAGAATATTATCATCAGCAAATTTTTCCAATGATTTTAGCATATTTTTGCTCTCTCCTCTAATTCTATGACATTAAGCGAGAATTTCTTTTCTAAAGAGCTACTTATAACAATAGCTAAATCATCAGCTAATAAATGTGTTATCAATTGAAAAAAGTACTGTGGCAAAAAGTGTACATGAAGTCGAAACAGAGTCGCCGCAAGTATTGACCCCTGAGGCGCTCCAACAAACATTTTAACCTGCCTTGAGGTAACATTTCCATAGTGAATCGAAAATGATCTATCTTGTAACCAAGAATAGATCCAACGTAACAACTGAAGAGGCATATTTAATTCTTGCAGATTAGTGTTATGATCTGCCATTCCTGGCAGATCATAAGACTATGTTCTCTTCTTCTTTTCCTTTCTTTCTGCTCTTGCGCAACTCTTGCATAACTGTTGTTCAACTTGTGTACTATATATAGCCGTTCACTTTATGCAAATAAAGAGGAGAAGTGAGTGAGTAGAACCTCACAATTAGCGATAAGCGCGGGAAACCACATCACTTTTAAATAAACTTTTTTCTACTATCCACACTTTCCGACTTTCTCGTCCGGTCATGGTAATCGTCGAGAAAAAGAAGTTTCACATCGGTGTTAAGATGGACATATCGGAAAATACCTTTCAAAATAGGCATATAAACGTTTCAAGAAAGAGTTAAAGAAGTTTGTGATTTGTGATGTATATATATGATCAGAATCAGAACTTGATATTTTTGTTTGAGAAAACAAAATATGTACACTAATTCGGACAGAATGTAAGAAAAAATTTAATTTAGCTATGGTTTATAAGATGTATGTTTGATTAATTAAATGTGTATGTTAGTAATATGGAAGAAAGGCTAATCAAACATACATTAAGTTTTGTGCAATATTTTCATACAGTTTTTAACCGTTATGACAAAGGAAACGTTTCAAAATATATTTTGGTTGGTCGCTATTCCGCTGTTCCTCTATTCTCCGACTATTCCTCCATCATTCCAAAAAATAAAGTAAAATGTAACCGAAATGGGGTGGAACAGCCTACTTAGGGAGCATTTCACAATTGCATAAATAGGAAATAATAAAGATGTTTTTCTTATTTGTATGGATATATTAAATATGGTTAAGAATCTAATAGTTAGTATTACTTTTATTAAAGTTTGTCCTTAGTCGACTGCATTTTTATTTAGATTGATTAGGAGCATGTCAAAATTGTAATTTATTTTATTTTATTTTGTATAATTTCGGTTCCTTTGATTCTATTGTGAATACATACATGGCCATATAGTCTATAGAGTACTTCGGGATAATTAGAGACACTCTTTGAAATTTTCGTCCTTTTTCTGCTATTTCTCGGCCGTTTTTGGTCGGAAAAACTTACTATTGAACACAGTGGTAGATCGAACACTTTTCTACACGCTCATGTAAAATCTTTTGAAATCTCCGGCCAATTTTGAGCCAGTTCCAAAATGCGAAGAGCTTCATCAAAGTGTCTCTAATTACTCCGTACGGGGTAATTAGAGGCACTCCATTCAAATACATGGAGTTTTAATGTACAATCGCTGATGAATTAAGGTTAGGAGATAATTAGTTCAAAAATACCTCATTTTGTAGCCCGGATCCTCCTCTCTCTACCATATAGTTTTGAGCTCATTATCATTTAAACTCAGTAAGCTAATTAGCATATAATCATAATGATAATACGATCCTCGCACGTAAAACAGATGTATTTCACTGACTACTAACAGCCAGCTCACAAAATTCATATCGTTGATAAAGCAGACTATGTGGCTACATTTTTGTAATAAGAAACGATTTTCATCTCTCTGAGGTTAGGAGCTATTGATACTTTACGGAAAAGAAATAAATCGCTCATACCTTACGAACAATCCAATAAAAAAGGTCCACAATTGGTGGGTGTTCAGCATTTGGTAAGAGCTATAACCACACGAAATTAGAAGTTCCTGGCAATCATGGTGCTTGAGTCACAGAGGTGTCGCTACTTTAGCGGAATTATTTTCTTCAAAAATAATACGTCCTGAAAGGGTTAGTCCACAAGTGTTAGCGAAAGGGAAAGATACACTGGCTTTAGTACACACAGAATCTCATTCTACAGCAAACGACACACAGTGGTATATTTCACTCATATTCAATTACTGTAACTATGTTAACGGCGTATGTTTCTGTTTTGCATACCTAACTACTGAATTTATTCCGAATTTCTCTTTTTTCCCTCTCTTATCTACCCGATTACACAGCAGTATAATATCTTAACCAATTAGAGCCACTTCTGTGAATTGTGACTCGATAAACTGGAATGAAAAGTAAATCTTTGAGTTCTCTGACGTATGGTACCTTAATCTACCTGTTAGCTGAAAAGACATTCCAAGATCGAGAAAAGTCGGTTTGTACCAACGAAAATTCAATTGTCTGTTAAAAACTTCGTTCCGCTATATCACTCTTTACTCGTCAAAAACAAATATATTTTTTTAGAATAAAAAGTGAAACGTAATAATGCGTTAGTAATTACACACTGTCCATTTCGACAAACTTATATAACATTTTGTTGAACAGGAAAGTAAATTATGAATCAAATTGAACATAAACAGCCAGGTTTTTTGGTGTTACAGTTAATCCTTGCTTATGTCCACCACTGTTTATATCTTCTCCACCATCTTCGAATGTGATAAACTGCATTAATCGTGTTATAATTATTTTGAGCTCTAATTTGGCCAAATCCTGACCTATACAAGCGCGGTGTCCTCCACCAAATGGAATTAATGCATAAGGATGATGATTTTTATCTTCACTTAGGAATCGATCAGGATAAAACCGCTCTGGATCAATGATCCAGTAGCGTCTGTCAAAGTGTAAATTATAAAATGATATCAAAACTACTTCACCTCGATGTAAATGGTAGATTTTATCCCCTTTACCGAGGTAGTCATCTGCGACTAATGTGCGTAAGGTAGCGTTCACATTTGGTGAAAAACGAAATACTTCTTTTATAACACAATCGACATAGACGAGTTGATCGAGCATATCAGGAGTTAACATTGTATCTTGTGAGATCCCATGTTGTTTTAATTCTTGTTTTATTTTTTTTTGAACTTCAGGATGTTTACTCATTAGATATGTGAACCACGATAAGAAAGTTGCTGCAGTTTCAAAGCCAGACAGAATCATAAATAATAATTCATCTAACATTTCTTTACGAGATAATCCTAAAATTAAGTTTTCAAATATGATAAACTTGTTTCTGTTAAATACAAGTAACGTTCATCATTCTGATTCACTTATCCCTTGACTGGAAAGGAATCGTCAATGTAAAGTTGTTTCTATAGAATAAAATAATTATCTTTCTTGTTCACATTCCTTTCTGAAGAACATTCTCAAGAAGCAGCAACAAGCTAAAACTATGGGAAACTACTGAAAAACTGCGGGGAAACTCCGGAAAATTGCTAGGAAACTGATGGACACTCTGGGAAACTGAGGGGAACTGCAAGAAAACCGAAGAAAAGTGCAATCAAACAAAAGGAAAATAGAGATTTTGAAGGGAAACTAAGGAAAGCCGAAGGATACTAGGAGAAATCGATGGAAAACTACTGTATGCAGCTAAAAGCTTGATAAAACAAGGACAATTACGCAACAATATAAGCAATGCGCGTCGAAGCAAGCGCCTTCAGCGCTTGCTTCGACGCGCATTCTTTAACTGGCCAAACTTTCTTCTGACCGAAGCAGTTTTTTCTTAATGATCACTTACCATGAGCTGAAGCTATTTTCGTTACACACCTCACCGGCATGATGCTTCCCCTTGCTCACGTAATTACTAACCGGAAATATCTGCTCTGTTCTGAACCACACATTTCTGTCTTGATCGGCGGTCTGCGACTTCCTTTACCACTCGCTATCCCTCTCATTTCGAAGACCAACAGTAAGATTAGATCGGCAACACCAAAACTAATTTCTTATCAGATTTCGAAAGAAAAAGCCGTATCTACGATTAAATAATCGGAGCTACTTTTTACACAAATGCTTGTCCACCAGGATTTCGTCTTGAACCTTGATCCTTTCGCACCGGACGTTATTGCTATGGATACCCCAATAGAATTTACCAGTTTCCCCTGCACACAACACACACAATGTGCTCACTACTCTCCTGTGTTAGGACACAGATAGGTGTATCTATCGGCCCGCTAATAATATGTGTGTGTCTGTCTGTCCACTGCTAATTTGCCATTTTCTGATTCCCCATAGTCGACTTATTCCACAAGGTAACGCTCGTCTGCACTCGCTCGGTCCATTGACTTTAGGAACTTATATCTACGGAACGCCCTTCCATGACTTTGAATCCAAAAGAACGCTCACACCTCCCTACGGTCGGTGTTCGCTAGGGGACTATCTAAAATACGTTATAATTTTTTCTTTGATTTCAGGTGTAAGCTTCGTAATCTAATATAAATCTTAAAAGTTTTCTCTAGACTCTCCAAAGATCCTCAGAGGTCTAAAAATATTTTTAAATTCAGGACAATGCTCACGCCTCCCTTCGGTCGGCGTTCGCACCCAGGATAGTTGAGAAATGTTGTAAACTTCTCTCATTCCGCGGAAAAAACGCACAATGTAACATAAAGCTTAAACGTTTTCTCGACACCCTCTGAAAATCCGCAGGGGCTGGAAGCATTCCTGATGGATTCATCATGTTAGACTATCTATAATCTGCAAGATTTATTATTCGTGGATGACATTTTGTGTTATCAAAACTGACTGATTTCTGGCGACATCTATCTCCGAACTGCAGAAAAACAAAAAGATATCTGAGAGCCATTTTTCTATGTTTTGCGCACAGACACACACACAGGCACACAGACAACCATCTTGTAAGACCCAACACTAAAGTCAAGGGAAGGTAGAGCTCGCTAATACTCATTTTCTGATTCCCATAGTCGAATATCTACTCCATATCATTTTCATCCAATCAAGTGGAAATGAAGTTTTCCATCAATAGAATCGACTCGAGAGGTCGCTCATACTCATTTTCTGGTTCCCCATAGTCGAATACCTATTCTATATCATTTTCATCCAATCAAGTCTCCGCTACTAAAAAGCTGTGTCCAGTTAGTATCCAGTCT